CGGGCTCACTAAATGGACACCCAACTGGTTCAGGAATGTCCTGGGAATCCTCCAGAACCCTATCCAATTCTTCAAAGGGATCTAATTCCTCCGAGTCTAAACCCACGGGCGCCTTGGGAAAATGTGACCACCCAGTTGGGCCTAGAGCCTCCCAGCGTCGGTTTGCCAGTTCTTGCTCCCTGTCTTCTACTTTTTTGGAGGCGAGGGAGGAGGCGGCAGCGGCAGCAGCAGCAGCGGAGGCCGCAGGCGAGAGGTCAAAACCTTTTTCCCGCAGACGTCGCTGCCTCTTGCTGCTCGGGTCCGCCTGTTTCCTGCGAGGCGGGTGCGCGAAAGGCGCAGGCATACAGGAGGAGGAGGATGAGGAGGAGGAGGAAGAGGAGGAGGAGGAGACGCAGGCCGTCCTGGCGGATCCGCCCGCGGGCTTTGTGGACGCGCGCGCGCCTGCCCAGTCGCCAAGAGACATTACTGAAGGGGCCCCAGGACACACAAATAAGTACACACAAATAATAAGATTCCCCATATTTTCCCAGTTTCTTTGTTCCCCCCACTTCCCATATTTTCCTATATTTTTTGGAGAATCGACGATTCATTGTGTCTGTGTGATTTTTTCCCTCCTGAATTACTAGCGAGTGTTGGTCTGAGGGCCGCGCGCGGATGGTTCGCAGCCTTGCGCCGGGGCCGCTCTGACCCCTTGCGCCCGCCAATGCGCCCGCTGCTCTGCGGGACTCGATCTGGATGGGGCAGTGCCGTTGCCAGTGCTTACCAGCCTCGAACTTATCCCTATCCCTAAGATTGACACGCCAATAGGCGATGACAATCTTAGGGGCTCGCCCACAAAAAGTAAGGGAATCCCCAAGATTGGCATCGTGATGAGGAGATGCCCCGCACAGGGATGGGGCTATGTTCCAGGCTGGTAAAGTGCCAGGCTCTGCCAGCGCAGTTTCGCACTGGGGCGACCTGGTAGTGTTCGTACCATCTCTTTTGCAAGCCTGTGTTTCCAAGCGCTGGATTCCGACGGCGCCGGTCCGTGGCGCGGCGGGCGCAGAGGAGTCTCATCTTCGAACAAGGACCAGCAAAACGTTGCCTATATCACCGCGACGAGTTCCGAAGCACTTCGTCAGCGCCCCATTCTCACCATCGGCATCGTCAGTGCCCGATTCGTTGCTGTGGCCATCGTGCGCGTTTTTGTCAAGCGGGGGCGGCGGAGCCCATCGGAATCGGAGAGAGGGGCGGGCGGAACTGAGCCCGAGAGGGCTTGGCCTATTTTCTAGGTAATGCCCCTTTTTTGCTCGCTCCTCTCTCGGCCAATATGATGTCTAGCTAGCAATCCTCCAAGGCCCGGGCTTCGCCGTCTGAGACCCTCCGACCCCTTCCGTGAAGCTGCCATCTCTGCGACCCCTAATGTCGCGGCTGGATTCGCCGCCGCCTTTCGAGGGAGCGCTCCGACGCCTCCCGGGCTGGGGGACCGCGGTCGACGGGGGGCGAGTGGGGCGGCGCGAGGGGGGCGAGCTCGGAGTGAGTGTGACCCAGGACGGTGGCTTAGGCTAGGTCCATCTCAGAGACATGTAACACCTGCGAGCTTCGCACACACTTAAGTTCTCATTCACTGGCTTACAGCCGTCCACGACCATGGATATATGTATATGTATATGTATATATACACATATGTATAATTCTGATGGGTAAGTATACACATATATGTAGACACACACACACACACACACTGTTTTTGGGGCGTACGTCCATGCCAGTGGTCAAGCTAGCCCAGAAAATTACCGTTCCGCCCAGAACCAAGCAACCGCCTCCAGGGCCCCTGGCCGTAAGATCCACTGCGCCCACAAATCGCGGGCCCGAACCGCGGGGGGATTCGTCGGGCACCGACGCACTGTGCACCTCCGAACTGGACGAGCAGCTGAAAGACTTAGCGCCTCCCTTAGTACTTATCCCGTGGGAGGCCCGACCGCCAGCTGGCAGGTGCATGCGGGGGGCGCTCCCCCGCATACCTCTACCAATCACTGGCCCCGCGCAGACACCTACGGCCAGCTACTGGAATCAACGGCTTAATGTTTAGGCATATTCTAAGGGGGTCACCAGCTAACTCCCAGCATCTCCACCCCCGGGCGCCTACGCCGCACTAGTAAAGCAACCTGGAGCTAACACCCAGATTCGTGCTAAGCTTAGGGCAGCGAAGCTGATGGATCAATACAAACCATGCAAATGAACACTGCCGGGCAGCAGAACTGCTAGATTATACAGAGAAACAAGTGCAGCAGGAGGGACGTAGCGGGAGGGTGAATTCTGCAGCACACTGATTACAACTCAACAAAGAGTCTCACAATCATGAGGCCATGCTGAATGCCTGGGCTCCGCGTCTCATCAGCCCTGACTTTTACAAGATATGCTACAGCGCCCTCAATATAAATTCTTGCAGTCATAGTGCTGGCCCAGCGGCCTTTCACGAGAGTCTTCTCCATAGACCCCTCGCGGCAATAGAAGACGCTGGCACCTCCGCGTCGGCATCTGTGCCAGCTGAGGAGGCCAGCAAAGCCGAGGGCCTCGGCGAGCCGCTGCAAGTCGGCGCGCGGCTGGTTCGGCGAGCGGCCAGTGAGCGTCTGCTCGGCCGCCAGGTCGGCCACGACAGCCCGCGGCAGGCGCAGGCAGGCCGCCGCCCACGCCGCGACCGCTTCCGCTGCATCCCTGCCAGGCGTGGTTTTGCTGCTGCCAATGCGGAGGACGACGCGCGACCCTCGATCATGCGCGTCGCCGGCTGCGAGCTTGAAGGCCTCGCCCCCCGTCTCAGCATCGCCTCGGAGCTGACCGGAAGGAGGCAGGCGAGGCCGAGCGCTCCAGCCTCGATGGCAGGCCCTGCCGCGGCGCCCCCGCAAGCTCTGCAGCGAGCGGGGGCGCGCGCGAAGCGGGCCCCTGCTTCCGCCGCGTCCGCATGGGCATCCAAGAGCAGTCAAGCTTCCTGCGCAGGGACGGGCACAGGAAGGCCGCGCCAGCGACAGCGTTGCTCGCCGCAGCGATGCCCGCGCCCTCGGCCCAGGGCTTCTCCAGGAAGCTGGCGACCAGGCCGTCGGCGCCCTCGCCCTCCTGAGCGAGCGCCGCTGAGCCGGCTTCCCCGGCGCCGCAATGCCGCGTGAGCCTCCAGGCTGCCGCGGCGCACCTGCTGCGCGTCGCGGCCCCGACGCGCAGCGACGCCGGGGAGTGGGCCCGAGAGCAAACAGAACACGCGAGGGAGGGCCGCCCTCGTCTCCACCGTGGCTCCCCCGGAGGTCGGAACCCTTCTCGCGGGCCAACTTCTCACCCCTAGCCCTTCTGCGACGGTCGCGGGGCCCGGTGCGGGCCACAGGACGCCTCCCAAATGGGGTCCGAGCGCAGCCAACCCGTATAATAAGGACGCGCGGAAGGATACAAGGGTCCTGGAGGGCCATGCCGACACTTTGCAGGCCGGGCGCGGCCAGCGAAAGCGGCCAAACATTGGCCCGAAGGAGAAGATACAAAGGCAGCCTCGGAAAATTGCTCATCCTTACTATGCTTCTTGACAATAGATGGGGCCAGGCAGTCGCGCCGCTTCGGCGATGCATTGGCGATGCGTTGGCGATGCATCGGCGACGTCGGCAATGAATCGGTGACGTCGGGCGTGGAGACAGTCGGTCTCCTCATCGGGCCGCATCGGCGATGCATCGGCACTTCGGCGCCACCCCTTGGCCCCATCTACTCCGACCCCATCTGAGAGGCCTACTGTCAAGGCGCTGAAATAAGGACCGCTTTAGGCTTTAGGTTCCAGAGGAGCTCTGGTTTTCGGGCCGCTGCTTGCTTGGATCCAAGCTGGAGAATCTGCTCCTGGCCGAGTTTAGCCGTGGCCAGAAAAGCTCCTTCGGTCCCCAGTTGGTGCTCCTCATGGTATCACGATGGCTGCAGAGCTTCCCTGCCAGAGGCTTCGCCTGGCGGTGCGCACAAGGGGGAAGGGCGTGGGATGCAGGCTTCTGAGAGAGAGGCTGCTTTTTCGAGGGCGCCAGCCTTTACATCTGCAGACAAGGCCCGCGCCTTCTGAGAAGCAGGGGTGCTTCTGCGAAGCACCAACTCCCCTCCCTTTCACCTCCCCGCTCCTCGCCCCGAGCGCGACCGTCGCGGGGCCCGGCGCGGGCCCCTGGTGGCCAGAGCCTGCCGAACAGCTCTGGAGGCCGCCCAAGTGGGGTCCGATCATGAGTATCGTTTGTCCGATCCCTATCCCCAGCGGCGTGGCCTGGGCCCCACTGGCCGATTTACCCCCCTAGATGGGGATATAGGCCGTTCCCTTCGGGTTTCGAGGGGTGTATCCCCAACTGGGGGGGTAATTTGGTGGGGGTCTCGAAGGGGATGGGGATGGGGATGGGGATTGGAGAAACGATACTGAGATCAGCTGGGGTCGGGCAGTCCTGGGGCCCCCTCTCTGCGCATGGCCGACTTGCCCAACACCTCCCTCGCCAGTGCCGTCGCTCGGACGTCCACTTCCCCGTGCACTTTTTGGCTCCGTGCGTCTGTTGTTCCGCAAGATGATCCTCGATGGTCTCCGCCGAAGAAAAGGCACACGTCCGAGCGATGCCACGCGCCTCGACTCGGGGGCGCGCAAACATGGATTAGCGACCCATGGACTTGGCGCGCGGTCGCCAAATCTATGCATCGGGGCAGGTGCTGCCCCCCAAACTCGGCCGGGGCCGCCTCGCTCGGCGGCGGACATCCGCGATGTCCTATGGAAGCGGGACCCGTCACTAATCCACGCCCCCCTGGCCATCGCTCGGACGTCCATTTCCTGTGTTTTTGTTTCGGTTTCGTGCGTATTTTTTTCGCGAAATGGTCAAGGATGCTCCTCGACGGTCCTCGCCGAAGGAAAAATGCACACGTCCGAGCGATGCCAGGCCCCTTGATCCATGTTTGAGATCGCCTGATCGACTGGCCCTGGGCGGCGGCGGCGGCGGCGGCGCACGGCTGGCGCGGTCCGCAGCAGCAGGGCGCGCCTCCGGCGGCGGCCGCGGCGGGCCGAGGAAGTCCCCGGGCCTCTGCGGCGGCAGGGCGGGAGCCTCCCGCCGCCTCCCCGAAGCCCCCCCCCGCGCGGCGGGGCAGCTCGCGGAGGAGGAGGAGGAGGAGGAGGAGGAGGAGGAGGAAGAGGAGGAGGACGAGGAGGAGGAGGAGGAGGGGG